TTAGGTACAAGTCCCAACCCCACTAATGGACTAGATAATGTGTTCGATTGACTCTGGGGAGCTACCACCTATGAGCACCAGGAGCCCAGGTGGGGGCCTGCATCCTCTCCAGACCCTCTCCTGGAATCCTGCTGGCTCCACACAGGAACTCTACACTCTCCAAGTTGCCTCCTCAGTGCCACCTTGTGCATCATCCAGGACTCCTGGCCTGACTGCTGACCCTTGGAGTCCTAATGCCACACCCTAGCTGAGGATGAGGCCTGGGGCCCTGCTCACTGCAGCCAGGCCAGGTCAACCATCGTCAGTCTGGACTGGGGAATCAAGTTGGGGGACTGTTGGCTAACAACCCCCCTTTCAAGTCAGATTTGGTCACTTACACTTAGGACCTCCTTGGTGGTGTCCCCGTGAGTGTAGTAGCACCTGAGCTCTCCTTCCCCAGCCCCTTGCCCACATCTCCAGCCTAATTCCAGGGAGCCCTTGTATTTCCTGTGCTTTCATCTGGGTACTCTGTTCACAGCCCCTCCTGGGGCCCTTTTCTTCATTCCTGATTACGTGTCCTACCGGGACGGGCCCCAGAGACTTGTGATGCTGCCCCTGTTCCTCCCTTTCCCACCATGCTGGCCCTTGGCACTGTGCTGGCAGCTGGGCTGCACCTGGGTACCATGAATAAATGGTCCTCTACCTTGCTGCCCTGCCCCAGGAGCATCTTTGCTGGACTCTGGGGGCCCAGCCTGGAGATAACCAACCCGTGGCCTCTGGGAGGGGTTGGCTCGACCAGAAGGCCTCCCACTGTCTAAGCCCAGATGATTCCTTGGGGAGCTCCTGCCCGCCCCTCAGCCCTGGCAGAGGCAGCACCACCTCTCATCTGTGCGGCCCACCCCTCACCCCACCTCACTCTCCCACATCTAGGCCTCTGTCACTCTGCCTGGAAGTCTTTCTCAAAGGGGTAAAAACAGGGTCAGTGTGCAAGTCAGTGCCTGGCATTCGCATGAAGGTCACAGCCACAGCTGTCAAGTGAGGCACAGAAACAGACCCAGTCTGCGTGGCAGGGCGCAGCAGGGCAGGAAGCAGAGTTCCAGTGTTTATTATCATACATATATATATTTCATGTGTATACACAGATAGTTTTCTCTCTTGGAAGTATTAAAAAATTGATCAACCTTCAATCTATAAAAAATACCTACTCTACATGATAGAAAAATCTCTCCTCCAAGTTTACACTGATTTACACCCAAGGCTTTCCCCAAAATGTACAATACGAGGCAACGTCTTAAATCTTAGTGTAGAAGGTGGGCCACGTGAGGGTGGAGGGACACAGGGCCACACATGCTCACACACACACGCACGCATACACACACCCTCACATACGTGCTCACACACAGCAGTGGCCAGCCTGTGTGCAGGGTTATGGCCCACCTGGGAGCACCCGGAGGCTCCTGGCCAGTGCTCAGGCTTGGGGTGGGGGGCAGGCCCAGCAGACCCCGTGGAGTGACGCTGCTGCTCCTGGCAGTGCAGGCGCCGGGCAGGGGCTTCCTTAAAGGAACCCCAAGCCACCAGGAAGGCCTTGATCTGTGTACCTGGAGAACCTGCCCTGCCCAGCCTCCTGCAAAATGCACCTCGGGGAGGCACGAGAACTTCTAAAGACTTCAAACCTCCCGAAGAGATGTGGTTCAGACCTAGGAAACCTGGGCTTCCCCAGAGACAGCCGAGGTCCGCACAGGGAAGGGGGACACACCCCTGGGGAGGCAGCACCTTGCCTCAGCCCTGCCTGCATCCCCAGACTCGGCAGGGACCAGTGACACCCACCAGGCCAGACAGCACATTCCACCCTGTTGGATTCTCAAGTCAGAGCCCCTGAGAGTTACTGCAGCGAGGGCAAAGCTGTGTGGCCTGAAGGGCCCCTGGGCCTGAAGCTGGACCAAGGTGCCTTCTGGATGGGTGGTGGCCTGAGCAGCCCCACGAAAGCTGGGGGGTCCCTGCAGTTCCTGGTCAGACCCTGACTCTCACTGGCATCGCCCACCTGCCTTCCCCACTCCACCATGTCTGGTGCCAGGGTCCTGGGGCCTCTACACCCTCCAGGAGCGGCCAAGGCTTGGGCGGCACCAGGTCAGGGGGCCTGTGCAGGCACAGGTAGCAGCACCCCCAGCAGGGACCCATTTCCTTCCTACCTTCTTTCCCTGACAAGGCAGGAAGTAGTTGAGAAGTCAGAGAGGCTCACCCCTAGACTGAGAGACTGTCCCCACCTCTGCACAGAGAGCTGCTGTGAGCTCAGTCCCGGCGTCTCTCCTCCCCCTGCCCCTGCCCAGTTGCGTGCTCCGGTGGTCAGCGTGGGACCTCTGGTCTCTGCCTGTGTGTGTGTGCTGCGGTGAGTCCTGAATGCAGTGGGGGCGGGGCCTTCCTGCCTCTACTTGACCTCCAGGATGGACGGGTTGGTCTCCATAATGGCCACAATGATCCTGTCGATGTAGTCCTGCAGGCGGAAGTTGATCTCTTCCTGCTTCTGGATCGCTTCCATGAGCTGTGGGAGGAGCAAGGGTTGGTGTCTGATGTACAGACCGCAGGCACCTGCAGGTGGCCGGGCCAAGCCAGGGGTGGGGGACGCTACCTCGTCTCGAGAGACAGAGCTGATCTCTGCGGCCAGGGACTCAGAGAAGGACGTGGAGAAGAGGTTCTTGGCGCCCTGGATACTCAGGTTGATGATCTGCCCATTGAGCTCATCATTCTGCTCCTTCAGGCTGCGGTTGTCCTAGGGGGAACACAGCAGCCTCACTGCTTGGGACCATGGTCCCCAGACGGCCGAGGCTGCACAGAGACTAGCAGGGGCAGGACCCCGTCTGGGCGCTGACCTGCACAAGCTCCACGCCACCCCCAGAAGCCTGCCCAGCCCCTCACCTGCTTCAGCCTTCGGACCTCCTGCTCCAGCTCGCTCTCCCGCGTGCGGCTGTTGTACTCCTGCAGGCCCACACTGCTGCTCCGGCCCCTCCTCTGCTCTGCCTCCAGCTTGAAGAGCTGCAGATGCTCCAGCTGCTTGCGCAGGTCCTCGATCAGCTGTGGCCATGGGTGTCAGCTCAGCCTTGGCCTCAGGGCAGCCTGAACACCAATCCCTCCATGCGCCCAGCACTTCCACCCCAGGGGCCGGCTGCGGGCTGGCCTGCGTGCACCTGGGTGCCATACTCACCTCCTGGGTAGCCTCTTTGTCCCTCTGGAACTGGTGCCTCTCATGGCTCAGTCTGTCCCCCAGCTTCCTCCTGTTCTCCTGCTCATCGCTGAGCCGCAGCGACAACTCCTCGATCTCATCCAGCAACTTCTGCTTCTCCTGCAAGTGACACAGTTGTGTGGCCGTGCACACCTGCCGCTGTTTGCACAGCTCTCTTCAGCTATTGATGCCCTGGCTCTTGATGCACTGAGTCCAGGGGCTGCACCTGGGAACTTCCATCATGGGCGGGCGTGGATCCAGCCAATGCACGTGGCAGGTGTGCCCACGAGGCCCCAGGGACTGTTTCTCAGGGGCAGGGCAGAAGGGACCGACACAAGAGTAGGAGGTGACCCCCAGCTACTCAGCAGGGGCTAGAAGTGCTCTCAGACGTTCCCAGGGTGCAGAGCTGTCTAGGGGACGCTGGGCGGGGTGGGTGAAGAAGGGGCACCAGGGGCCAAGCTGAAGTCAGCCCTCAAGGACATCATCCCTGGACTCAAACCAGGGGTTAATCTAAGCATGAATCTCTGATCCCAAGAATCCTGAGAAGTGGGCAGGGTCCATCATCTTCCAGCAAAGTGACGACCAGGCCCAAGCTATCCTTGTCTACCACCTCACCTCCCCAGGCCGTAGGGCCTGGTGTCACCAGCCTGCACTTTGGAGCAGCACAGCTTGGCTGGCTACACCCTGGCAGACCCATGGGCAGACTGTGCAGCTGCCCCACTTTGGAGCACCTCTCAGCACATCCCAACAGGCGCAGAGGCGGGGAGACAGCTCAGCTGGCAGCTCACCTCCTCCAGGCGCTCGATGCTGGCCTTCAGGCAGGGCGTGCAGGACCTCAGCTCACTGTTCTCCTCGTCCAGCTGCTGCAGCCTAGGGCACAGGAACAAGGCTGGGACCCGCTTCCCAGGAAATGCACCTCCTCGGGGAAACCTTGCTAGGAGCCGCCCAGGGACCCATGGAGCTGTCCCCCTACTGCCACATGCACCCACACAAGGGCTCTGGGCCATCGCTTCTTCATGAGTCTGGATGGTGTTTATATACAACTCAGGTTTGGGGAAAATCTTGGGTTTACAGAAAAGCTGCAGACAGAGAGCGAGGTCCTGTGGACCCTGAGCCCACACCGGACACACCAGACACACTGGTAACCAAAACACGGACTCCACCCAGCTTTCCCACCAGTGCACGTTCTGGTCTGGGGTCCCTCCCTCCCAGGAGCGCCTGGCGTTAGCCCTCATGGCTCCTGAACTTCCTGTGGTTTATAAAAGTCTCTGGACAGCCCTGGTTCTTCATGACCATGACAGTTTTGAGCAGTGTATATGGTAGAATGTCCCTCAAATTGCCTTGTCCAGTGTTTTCTCCAGACTGGACAGGATGTGGGATGGGGAGAGTCCCTTCCTGTCACAGGTGACATTGACCTGGATCACCTGGTTGAGGTGTGTGCCAGGTGTCTCCCCTATCAGATTCTACTCTTCCTGTCCATTCTCTGTTCTCTGGAAGCCAGCCATGGAGTACAGCCTGCGCTCCAACTTCCGCCTCCATGTGTTATTTGGACCTCCTCTACGGGAGCCTCACATTGGGCTACGCCCTGGGTGGTGGTCTAGTGGTGTCATCAACTCTTGACTACTGGGGGTCCCTCAACACACTGTCATCCATGTGCCCTTCTGTTTGAGCATTTCCCTACTTTCTGCCTTTTCCATGTGCTCCCAGCTCAGCCACAGACCCAGCCCTTTCTCCATGGAGCCCTGGACCCCTCCACAGCCTGGCTGTCATCATCCTGCTACACTGCAGCTACTATTGTACACAATGGGCCGAGGCCAAGCCGAGGAGGCTCCTATGCTTGGCTGACCTCAGGGCTCCAGGGCTTCTGAAGGTCTGAGCAAGAACCCCAGGGAGCTGTGGGAGGCCAATAGGGCCCAGGTACACACAGATGCTGGCCTGAGGTGCACAAAGCAGGCAGTGCGTTTGCTCAGAAGCAGTGGTGACCCTGAGTCCCGCCTCACTCCCTGAGAGCCTCACAAGGCCCCATCCACTTTGTGCCCCTCCAGCTGCTGCCTGCTTGGCCAGCAGGATGCCCTGAGGTGCAGGGTCTGGTATGCAACCGTGGGAGATGGATGGCCCACCTCAGCATCCACAGCCCCTGTGGAGAGGGCCTCAGCATGCGGAGAGACACCGCTTTCTCTGTGTCCACTGGATGGCACCATGCTGAGGCCCCGGAAAGGCCTGGCTGCCCCAGGAGGTGGTCTCCCTATCCAGGGAGACCCTGGCACAGTTCTGCATGCAGCCCCTCTTGCCACCCTCCGTTTTGAAGATGTGTCAATGTGTATTTTCTGGGCTTTAAGAACTAGAGACAAACATACTAAGGGGCCTGGGGTTGTACACGAGTAAGTAAAACTACTGCACACTGAACTCTTCGGGCGGTGCCAGCTCAGTTAAAAAAACTATGAAGTATCCCCACCCTCATTGTGCACCCAGGAGCGGAACTCTGGGGAAGGATAGGCAGGAACCCCAGGGTGACCTTTAAGCTGTGGCCATTTAGGTTCTCCGCCGGTTTTCTTTGACAAACACGGTTTGAGAAGCACTGGTCACCATGAGTGCTGCCTGCCCTCCAGCCCAAGCTCCTGGTTCCCGGCTGTGCCTCTGTGTGGGGTCTGCACAGCCTTCCCTCTTCACCTCCCCTTCTTCCGACTCAACTAAGGATTATGCTTCAGAGGAGCATCAGGGTAATTTTCTCAAGATGCCTTAAAAAGAGATTTCAACTTTGATTTCGATTGGTGTGACCTCCACTGGAGAAAGATTACGGAAGTAACATCTGTGTAGGGTCAGCCCTTGATTTCAGGTCTTTTGTGGCCTTTAGTAGAGTGGTACAGTTTTCTTCACAGATGCTTTTCACTGTTCTTAGAGTCAAACCTGTGCCTGGGTATCCTGCCCTCCTGGGGTGGGAGCTGTTGTTGCCTGCGTGTCTCACGATCGCTCTCCCCCGACCAGGCCTGCAGGGTCTCGATCCCACTCTCCCCGCACCTGGCCTGCAGGTTCTCGATCTCGATGCTCTTCTCCCGCTCCATCTTGCACAGGAGTTCCTTCTGCTTGCGCGTCTCTTCCAGAACCATTTCACAGGCTCTCAGCTCCTGCTCCTTCAGCTGCTCCTCCAAGGCATTGGCTCTGCAAAGGCAGATGGGGAGGGGAGAGACTGTCCTGAGATGCTGTGCCTGGTCCTGGAGAGAGAGGCCCTACCCGGAGGAGGACGTCCCCCCACAACCTACAGCCCCAGTCAAGGGCAGTTCTGAAGCAGGGGATGTACCCTCCAAACAGCCTCCACCCCCACACTGAGGGTGCAAGGGGTTCAGACCACAGCACAGTCCTGACAGCACAGAGAGTCCCTACCACTCTCGGGGAGACTCACCTTCAGCCCAGCCTGCACCAACAGTTGCCATCTGTTCACTCTGTGTGGGCAGGAGACCCTCTTGGGCACAAGCCCACCAGGTGCCCGTCCCCAGGGCACCTCACCTGACACTCCAGGCTGGGGACCTGGGGTACAGTCCCGCTCTGCCCAGGCCAGCCACAGCAGATGCAAAAGCAGGTTTAGCCAGAACACGGGGACAAAGGGAATGCTCACTTGGAGTCTTGACCCTGGCCCCTTCCAAAACCATCATGCCCACCTGCAGGAGACACGAAATGACCATCCCAAAGAGAAGGGCTCCAGACCCTGCCCATGGGTGGCATGGTTCACACACACGGGGCTTCTCGTCTGCTTTTTGGTGCCTCCCATCTGAGAATGAATAGACGGCCAAAGATCACCAGACACCACGAGAAAGCTCTTAACACAGAATGGCTAAAGCAAACAGAAAAAATGACCTGAAGGAAACATACATTGTGCAGGAAACACACAGAAAGCCCTGTAGCTAAAACCCTCAGAGGCCTGAGACACCACATCCATGAAACAGGAGCAGATGTCTCAGAGGGAATGGATAACAGAAGTAACTCAGTAATTAAAACTGGGATAAGGAGAAGTCTCAAATTCAACAGAATTGAAGGAGAAAACCACTGATACTACACACAAAAAAGAAAACAGAGAGTAGGAAAGCACAGCAAATGAGAGGGAAAGCCCACAAGGTCTAACATTCGATTGACAGAAGTTCAGCCAGACAAGAAAGAGGGGAAAACCGCACAGAGAAATAATCCTGGAAATCCTCCTGAAGTGGAGGGGGACAGTCTCCAGATTTGAGGCTGGAAACCACTTGCGCAGCACAGGAAATGATGAGATCCTCATGTGTCCAGGAACAGAATAGGAAGAGAACAAACAGAGCAGGGAGACCAGGGCACCAGCCCTCTTCCTACCAGAGCCTACTTCCAACCAGAACTACAGACTCAGCCACGCTACCAAAGGGGAGGGGAGGAGCGGGGGACACCAAACACATTTTCATATGTGCGAGGTCCTAGAGGACCTGGCTCCTAAGCACACTTTCCCAGGCAATAGGGGATCTGTTCAGAAAATGAGTAAGCAGAGAACTTGTGGAATCTGGAAAGTCAGAAACCAAACACGGACAAAGCACGTGGAGTTCCTACAACGGCAGTCAAAGGAGAGCAGAAGCGGCGGCAGAAGCATGTTGTTTAGGGGAACTCAGGCAAACACCAGAAGAAACATCCCCAGGAACTGGACATGGCTGACCCCGGAGCTGCTGGCGGGTAGGGCACGGAGCGTGGACTCTCCACTATGTACGTGGATGACTGACAAATGCCCATCAGATTAGATGAACCTCCCTAGTCAGCTAGAGAAAGGATCTGGTGGCCCACCCAGATCCCTGGACAAGGATGGGGAAGGAGGAAGAGTGTCTCTGGAGATGCATCACATTCTTGGTGCGGCACTGGAAACCCAGCCCTCAAAGCAGTGTGTGGAGGAGCCCACGATGACATGCTGCACCCCAGCTCTAAGCCTCCAGAGAGCAGATTGCCTTCCTGACACCAGAGGACAGGTCATGAAGGCCAGCCTCGCCCAGGGTGGGAAGTAAGGCAGGGGTCCAGTAGCCACGGTGCACACGCCCGGTGCTGGGTCGTTGGGGAGGAGCCCGAGCAGAGCCAGGCCTCAATAGCCACCTGGCAAAAACATGCCACACGCACAGCGCTTCCAGCCTCCGGTGCCCACCAGCTTGGCCCCAGAAGCAGTGTGTCCCCACAGCTCGTACTTTGCAGAAGCACTGCTCTGAGGTTCACGTCATGACTGGCTTCCTGACACTGAAAAGGGCACCATCTGCTCTGAAAAGTCTGCAGAACAGGAGACAGGGAAGCACCCCTCTCCCTACCACCTTCCACTTGGCTTTTATTGCTGACTTGGAGCTTGAGGCTCCCACTTGGGGCTTGTTTCTGCCGCTAAGTGCCCGAGAGGACCCTCACACTTCGAGGTGGGTCAGGTGTCCCCTTGTAGGACAGCAGCAGGCCCGCCGCCAGGGAGACTGCAGCCCTCCCGCCCGTGCCCACCTGTGCACGAGCTGCAGGTTCTCCTGCCTCAGCCGGCTGTGCTGCTCCCCACTTGCAGCCGTGTCCTTTTCCAGCTCTGACACTCGCTTCTCCAGGAAGACAACCTGGGGAGCGAGACAGCGGCTTGACAATCAAGGAGGCGGAGTGGTCTGTGCCCATGAGGCTGGAGCTGGGTCCGTCTTGTTCATGGAGACTATCCCACAAACAAGGCAGTGCAGCCCGATGGGCACTGGTGAGGACAGGGATATGCTGGGCCCACAAACCACAGGGGCAGACATCACCAGGGGCCCCCACACACAGGGGCTGAGGCTCAGCCACACCCAGACTATGGAGGCAATACGCACCCAGGGTGCAAGTGACAGAAAGCCCCAGGGTTTGGTCCCACCCTCCTCCAGGAGCTCATTAACTAGACAGGAGACAGGCATGCACAACAGGTGATGGGAAGTGTGATGGCCATCCTGGAGAGCCAGGGGAAGGCTCTGCAGAGCGTGAGATGCTGGAGGTGCTGTAGAGAGGAGGTCCAGGAGGAGGTAGGGGTGGGGGAGGAGGTGAGGGGTCTGCTGTCCCCCTGCCTCTGCACTTCTGCTGGAGCTGGTCCTGAAGCCTTGGGGCCTTGGCTATAGTGAGGCTGCCCTGACCCAGGTGACCTCTCAGGAGCAGCCATTCCACCGTCCTGGCTCAGGGACCATTGCAGGCTGAGTGCCCCCAGGGTCTGGTGCACACTCAGCTGACCCACACCTTCACACAGGCTGTTCCCGTCCTCCCTGTCACCTCTCCTTGTACAACATGAAACGCTCCTGTCTGTCCCATGACCACTGACACCTGAGGAAATCTGCTGGAGAGCATCAGGGCTGGTGGAGGTCTCACCAGCCCTGACAGTGCTATCACCGCCTCCTGCTGAGCTCTCTCCACACCTCGCTCCACACACCCTGCCATGGGCCCTGCCACCCGTCCAGGGCCTACCTTGTCAGCAATGTCCTCTTCCATGCACTCTGTGGGGTCTGGGGCAGGGTCCTGCAGGGCCTCCATGGTCAGGGCCCCCGACTGGTGTAGGTGCCTGTGGAGAAGAAAGGACAGCTCCGTCCAGAGATGGCCCTTCAGCAGAACAAGGATAGCAAACAAGGGGGATGACCGAGCAGCCAGTCCTATGAACATGAGCACCCCCAGGCCAGTCTGAAGGGCAGAACCAGCAGCAGGGGCCAGGTTTCCACTGAGGTACTTCCAGGCAGGACACTTTCCTGAGGGGCTGGGCCAGCAGGCCGCAGCCTGTGGGGCCCAACAGGCCCGGCCCCAGCCCCGTTCCCTGCGAGCTACTGGGCGAGGGTACTTTGTACTCGGGCAATAAAACAGGATGTCACGCCTCTCCGTGATAAGAAATCATCTCATCCTGCACTGAGCTGCATGAAACATTAATTCAGTGTCATGACTTCTCGGCACACCATCACCTACATGCATCCTCCACCTCTGACTTTCAGGTGCACATCTTGGGGCAGTGGCAGTGAGAGCCCCAGGGCAGCCAGGTCTCCAGCTGTGGGCATGTCGGGTGCCATGCAGCCCAGGCTCAGGTGGACCAGGCCATACCCTCAGAGCTCCTTCCTTTGCTCCTCGGCTGCTAGTACCTTAGGAGGTGCTCTGCAGACACAGCTGTGGTGATGTTGTATTGGCTCACATTTACCCGGGACAAGTCTCCAAGCTGTGTGACCTGGAGGAAGCTACTCCCCTCACTCTGCTGTAGAATCAGCTCTGCTAAGGACACAGCACATTGTTATAAAATGTTCTTAAAAACTTTCTCTTTATTAACTGCAAAAAGTTCTATGTCCTTTCTAGTACTGACTGAGCTGGTACCTTTCTTCAATTTTTTCCTAGAAATGCTCCAAGTGAAACAAAAAGAAGGGCATCTTCATTGCCGGGGATCATGAGTCCCCAGACTGTGCCCTGGGCTGGGTGAGAGGAACATATGAGTACCTTTCTATAGATTTCATTTGATTCCTAAACTGGCGCTGAACCCAAAGGGCAGGAGGCAGACGGGACCACCATGTTCCTGCCAAATCGCTCCTCTTAAACACCCACGACCCTGACCCAAATGTGAGCTCCTGTTGCCATTCCTGGGGCAGGAAGGTGCTTGCCCCAGGCCTGGAGGCCACCCTGAGAAAAGGCCATGGCCAGGGGGGGCTGTCACTCAATCCTGAGGTCTTACCAGGGGTTCAGTGCACTTCCCAAAGTCTGAATCCAAGGACATGGTCCCCAGACACCCAGGGTGGGGCCCTAGCACATGGCCACCTCAGGGTAAGGCCAAGGTTCCTGGAGTGGTGAGTGGGGAGCTTGTTTATTTAAACTCACCCCTACTCAGGAGACCCAGTAGCAGAAGGGACTGGGGGAGTGCCTGATTCACCCTACAGGGAGGCAGGTCACATCTGGCAGGTGGACAAGCAGGTGCTGGAATTGCACCTGAAATGTCATCGGAGCCCAGGCACACCGACTGTGGAGCCATCTGCATCCAGTCAAGGCCCACCACCAGGTCAGAGGTCAGAGCTGGTGGCTCCCAAACCCACGACCCAGCCACAACCCAACCATACACAAGGGCTGAAACATGGCCAGCAGCAGGCATTTCGGGTTTTGTTAGACGTCTGGAGGCAGTTTTAAGGGCAAAATAGCAGCAGGTTAAAATTGCATTTGTATGTGAGGATGTGTGTCCAGACAGCGGAATATGACTGTTTGTTAACTACAAATACCTGCGGGTTGGGCTTGTTTTATACCAAAGGGTATCTGTGAAGGAAAAATCAAATTCTGAGAGCAGTGGCCACGAAGCCCAGCAGCCCAGGTGGCTCGGGCCCTGGTGGCTGTTGGGTCCACCTGTGTCCCTGATGGGGGAGTCTGAGAAGACAGGATAGTGGGAGTTCTACCTTTCTTAGTCTCACCAGCTGTAGCCTGTTCAGGTAAAAGATGGGCGTGAGAAGGAAGGTAATGCTAAAACTATAATCAAAGTGGGGTTTGGAATTAATACTATGTTCCTAAGACTTTTCTAAAGGGCTTTTCTAAGAGGGTGATGGAGAGAGCAAGTGAGGAGGGTGATGGATTCACCTCTGCTTCCTCTGGATCCCAAGCGCTTAAAATGAGAAAAAAAAAATAAATGGTTTACACCCTCAAGGACACACAGAGCAGAAGAAAGCACCAGAAAGGAAACATCAGGGTGCTGGAGAGCTGGTCAGGACGGCCCCTGAGGGGCAGAAGAGATGAGTGCAGAGGGGGAGGGGTCTCCACCACAACTCTGACTCAGGACACATGGGCCTACAAACAGAGACTGCAGCACAGTCTGAACAATACAGCAGGCCTGGCACAGCCCTGGAACGCTGGCACTAGGCAGGACTCCACTCTGGGGAAACTAGCCAGCTGCCATGGGCAGCACTGCCCACTCGCACGCTGGCCAGAGGCCCGTGCCAGCTGTGAGCCGCCACTCCAGCACAAATAGACAGCACCTCTGTGGTTTGAGGGAAATCTTTAGCAAGAAAGACAGAGCTCAGAGGAGACAGGGAGGAGGGGCCAGTGGCAGGCGCCTCAAGGAAGGACCCAGAGGCTCGGGCCACGGAGTTCCAGGAGCAGGAGGTGGGATGGAGGACTGTCAATCAATGGTCGAGAAAGGTCCCAGAATTCAGGGACAGAAGCTTCCAGACTGAAACAGCACATCTTTCATTCTGCCCAGCACAATCAATGGGGAAAAGACTCACAAGATATGTAAAGTGTCTGAACTTCAGGGATAGAGAAAATATCTTGAAAGCATCCAGAGAGGGAAAATAGTCAAAAAGAAAAATCAGAAAGCATCAGATGTCCTGCAGCAGCTCCAGGGCTAGAAGATAATGAGCAATGCCTTCCAAATGCTAAAGGGAAATCATTTCCAATCTAGAATTCTACACTGAGCCAAACTGTGAGAGTGAAATGTCTAGTAAGGTCCCCAAAATTTATTCCCTGGGCACTTATTTTCTCAAGCAGCTACAGGAAGATGAAATGCTGGATGAAAAATGGAGACTAAAAAAAGGAAGACAGGGGACCAGGGAGCAATAGGGGACTACAGCCGTGCAGTCTGCACAGTATGGATACAAAGGGCCGAAGCTCTGGGAGGGACCATCCAGACAGGAGCAGGGCTGCCTGGTGGGCCCGTTAGAGGGCTGGGCAGTGAAGGCAGAAAAGCAGCCTGGAAGATAAAGCAAATGAAAACATAAAGGCAATCACTGAATCCAGGAGAAGCAACAGCCTGTCTTAGAAAGGAAACCTGGTAATATGTTACACGGCTGCCCTCGAAGAAAGCTGGTGTCTTGTAAACCCATGAATACTGTCACTAGGGCTAGCCTGGCAGGGGAGGGGTTGTGTGTGACGTCACCTTTCACTGCAGGAAGCCAGGAGGTAGCTTCCAAAACTGAAAAATGAAGAAATGGTCACAGATGCATGTTCTTTAGAAACTGGCAGTCTGGCACACCTCCTTCACCTCCTTCTCACCCTGGGGAACCAGCAGGGAGGGAAGAATGCGGTGGACCCAGACCAGGGCTGTGACATCAGGCCCCCCGCAGACTCTCCACCAGCAGGCTAACCTATAGTCCTCGTGTGGTAAAGACTCAGATACAGGAGGAATGACAACAGCTTTCAACACAGACTTCCCAGCCACAAATCCAGGTCCCAGTCCACTGCTGTGGAAATTCTTTTTTCAACCCATCCCCTCAAATTATTTTCAATCCCAAACTATGAGAAGTAAATTTCAAAAGTTTTTAAAAAATACCTTGGAAAATGGTATTTTCTAAAGAAGGTATATTTAAAGAGCTGTGATGAGTGACACATTTCAGAAGAACACCTTGTGAGTAAGCAGGGTCTCTTACCTTGCCACCTTCTTGCTGGACAGCCGCTTCGTTGGACTGCAAAATCAAAATAAACAGGAAAATCGTGTCAGAGAACAGACAGGGAGGAACAAGAGGAAACAGGAAATTTGGGCTAAAGAGATATGGGGATGGGGGCGCGTCCACAGGCATGCAGTTCCATGCACAGAAAGGCTCACTCAGCAAAACATTCAGGGACACGGGAACAATCCCAGGGGCTTGTCAAGGCTCCGCAAGTCACACGATTCCATCTCTCAAAGAGATTTTCGTTGGAGTTACAAACAAACCTCACTTCAGAGGCTGCCCCAGTGCCTGGACCCACCAGGTGGTTGCGCTGTGTCTGAGCCATTGGCCAGTGCCACGCTCCAAATGCTTTTGAAGCCACATTACCCTCCAAATGCTTGGCCATCACAGTCCCCCACATGAAGCGTGACACGGGCTTGTCTGCGACAGGAAAGTTTTGTCGTCGGTTTTAACCTAGGCACTGACTCGTCACACTCCAGAATCCCACTGGAGCGGTGATTGAGAAAACTTTCCCGATGACATTTCAGGACAGCAGACCTGGTCAGGCATGTATGGCCTGTCTGATGCAATCATCTGCAGTGAAAAGGGGCCAAATTTACCTTCTCTCTCATTTTTGAAGTCCAAAGTTTTATTTCCAATTTAATTGCTAAACTATTAGCCTCAACCTATGAGAAAATATATATCAACTCTCCAAGAATAAGAACAGCCATTGTCTTGAGCTCACAACAGCCAGACAGGGCACATCCCTCTTCAGTTACTGTGACTCTTAAGTTGTCTGGGGAAATACATGCCGTACCAGCTAGCAACTTACTGCCCCTTGGCTTCAAACCCATCCTTCCCACTGGTTCTGGGAAAGTGGATATGGGCCCTCCACAAAGTTGTACTTTGCAGTGTTTTGTCAGCAGAGGGCACTGGAGAGAGATGCACAGGAAACCATGGGTCTAACCTGGCACCAATGCTCTCACCCAAAAACCCCAGCCCTGACACTTCCCAGGGCAGTTCTGCAGCAAGGCCACTCTAGTGAGGCCCCTCCAAAGGAAGAGCTTTTCTGGCAATGAGTTCTAGAAGGGGGGTTGCTGACAAGGCCCTGACAGCGGCTGTTCCTGGCTCTGTCTGAGCTTTCTGTGTAGCCGAACCCACTCCATCTCCTGTCATAGTGACATTCCTTTTATTCAACTTCCCCTGTCCAATTCCCGCGTGGCTCCCCTCTGCTGACTGGACCATGACTGACACTGTATATTTCGATGCAACTCTAACTTAATTCTAATCACTGAGCCTCCCTGTTCAGTTTACCACCGACCTCTCAGATAGCTGTACAGCAACGGGGTTTACAATTTGAAAACAGACCTCTAGGTAAAGCAGACTCCTTAATTTCTACAGGATGAACTGCTTTCACAGAGGCTCCAAGGTACCTGGAAAATACCATAGTTGTCAGTATGTTCCGAGGGTCACTGGATAGATGTTTTATCTGATGTCAAAGCTTCTGGATACAGTGTGGACAAAATCACTTACCACTCACAAACCACGACAAAATACATTCACTATGAGGCACTTCTGTGGAAACCAACAGGTAAGATTAAGATCACCTTAAGTGAGTGTGCAGTGGGAACTTCCTGACTGATGGTTGTGTCCTGATTATAACTAGGATTTTGATGGTTTATCAACCTGCTTGTTGGTGTCTCTCTCAGGGAAAAGGTGGCTGAAATGATGTGAGACCCGCTAGACTGGCTGGTTGGACTTGGCCACATCCTAGTCTGTTCTCTGACCCACAGAACCTAGCAGAGGAGACCCTGGCCATCCTGGGGCAGGTTCTCAATGTGGGAAAAGATCACTCTCACCTCAGGAACCTGCAGAAAATGAGAGCTGAGATATGTGTCTCTGTGTTCACCCTCAAATACAGACATGGCAGGCCTCCAATCAGGAATGACAAATGACCTAGCCAGGCTGAGCAGCCTTCTTGGAGCACTGAGCCCTCAACTGAACAAGAGAGGCAAACAGAGTCACATCAGTCACAAGGACACCCAGGGAGACCAAGCAGCTGTGGCCAAGGCCCTAAAGGGCAGGACAGTGGGCCTGGGAGGTAAGTGGACACCCCAAAGCCATCAGGATGGTTCACCTTTCGTGCAGCTCCTTAGAGTTCAAGGCCCCTTCCTCCAGGAAGTCGCCCTGGATTATTGCCTGGGAGCCTGCAGTACTGATTGGCGCATACTGCCCCCTCATGTCCAGCACAAGTACTTGGTGGGTGGCTCGCCTTCTCTGCTGGGTTCGCTGCATGAGGGGCGCATCTCTTCTCCAGACCCATGCAACAAGCTAAATCGACGATACGCATCATGAACACATCAAGATGTGCAAACTACCCAAAAGGATTCTCTGTAACCGGAGTCTGTGAAGCTGTAAAAAGTCAGCTAAAGGACTGTCTCCTCCTGGAACTCTGACCTGGGACTGAGTACTGGGGATGGAGAGAGAAGGAATCAGCTTTAATGGGATCCAGGAGACGGAGAAGAGAGACAGACAAGGAGCAGCAGACATGTGCTGAGGCCTGGGCACTTGAATAGGGTAGTGAAGCTGGATCTTCTGGTAAGAGGCTGAGGCAGCCTTACAGTGACGGGTGCAGGGCAGGGCCCACCTGCGGTACATTCCTGAAAGCAGCTTATATATCTGTGCTTAAAGACCTCATCTCAATTTAGATTTCCCAATGCTGCTTCATGTGACTCTAAATCAGAGAAGTCTGCTGATAAACCGGGAAAAGCATCTCTTTCTACCAGCAGACGCTCTTTCCTGGGCTGGATTTCCTCAGGCAGGACAGAATCAGATGACAGGGCTGTGGCATGCACACAGGGCAGCAAGGTGGAGGGCACTGACCACGGGCGCAGCAGCACATGCAGGGGAAGGCAGGGCCAGAGGGAGAGTCCGCTATCTGCACACTCGCCTCGGCCTCTGGAGGAAGCACCCCTGGACTGGGCCCGACAGAGTGATGGGCACCTGGGGCCAAACCAGTGAGGAGTTGTGGGCAGGCGGAGTCCCCCTCACCCTTGAATGAGAAGCAGGCTGGGCACCACATCGGTTACCTATTCTTTTCAAGATCACTCAGGCGAGCAGACAGATCCTCAAGGCGGTTGATTTGTTTGTGGCACTGGCTACAGTAAAACTCAAAAGCCTCATCAGTGAGGATGCTGTGCAGCTTGGCAGCAAGCGGGTCAGCGCTAGAGAGATGAGAAGTGTCAGTTCAGGAGAGAGCAAGGACTGTGGGGCCTGCTGGCAGAGGACCCCGGTCTCAGCACTGCCTCCAGGACCCGTGGCACCCCCCAGCTCAGCACCTGCTCGGAGGAAACAGGTGCAGCCCACCAGCTTCAGTGTAAAGTGAAACCCTGCTTTAACTGGACACGGTGCTTTCAGCTTGGTCAAAAACAGGTCAGTGTGAGAGCTAAGCGTGTCACCAGGTGGCGTCCTACTTCCTGTTCTGTCTCTTTCAGTAACTGCCTAAGAACTACCAGAATCAAGAGCTGCGGGTGGACAACAAATCACCAGTGATTCTGTCATCTTTAAGACTCTGGTTAAAAAACACAGAATTTTGCAACCTAAACTCAGTGGGCTTTCAGGGCAGTGGTGGTGAGGACCCCCAGGCTTTGGAGACAATTTAAAGAAACAGCAACTGCAGCACAGAAGTTTCACCTGAGACAGCAAACAGCAAGAATGCCGGACAAGAGATAGGAGCACACGAAACAAATGGAGAGACCACCAAAACAGGACAGACACGCTCAGCAAGGCCACCGCCTGGGCCTTTACTTGAAGGCCACCAGGAGCACGTGTGGAAGAGGAAAGCCACTCCCAGACTCTGCCCCGGAGGACACAGGGGGTCTGTCAGGCAGCCATCCCCCCGCCCAGCACTGCTCCTATCCAGGTCCTCGGCCTGGGTGACAGTTGGCACAGGAAGAATCTCACAGTTGCCGGTTTAAAGATACCTGTCCTCTGCTGTCGGTAGAGAGGGAGAACTGGGAGCGGAGGGGAGAGGTGACCGACGTGGGCAGGCAGGTCAGCCAGCTCAGGGCCTCCTTGAGGGGCTGGCTGGTCCTGCCCCCCATCTAGATATAAGGGATGGCCTTCTCCCAGGGCAGCCCGGAGAGGAGGGACCAGCTCTGTGAGCGAAGGTCTTGCTCTTTAGAGACCACAGTTCAGTTTATTCAAAGCTGGAACTTTCCAGGCAATTTGAGGATATCAGATAATTGTAAGAAGATGAATCCAAAGAGTCATTTATGATGTTAACACCTCCCTCATAGACTGGTCAGAAGGTACAGACTTTCAGCTGCTAGAGGAATAAGGTCTGAAGGTCTAATGTAAAACACGGTGACTACAGCTGGTGACACCACACAGACCTCAAAGATGCTGCAGGTTTGGTTCCAGACCCTCACAGTAAAGTGAATGTCACAATAAAGTGGGCCACATGGAGTTTTTGGTTTCAAGGTGGACGTAACAGTGATGTTTACACTATACTGTAGCCTAATAAGTGTTTAATAGCATCATGTCTAAAAAAAACAGTGTGCACACCTTAACTAAAAAAATACTTTACTGCTAAACCCCTCCCCCTCACTGGCTAACCACCATCTGAGCCTTCAGGGAGCTGTCATTTTTTTGCAACAGTAACATCCAAGATCAAGGGTCACAAGTCACCACAACAAAGGTGATCGTATTGAAGTTTGAAGTATCGCAAGAATTACCAAACCGTGACAGAGATATGAAGTAAGCAAATGCTGTTGGGAAAACGGCGCAGGGTTTCCACAAGCCTTCAATTCCTAAGAGACTGACCATCCACGAAGCACAACCGGGGCTGCAGTCTGCTAGGTCCACCTGCGCTGCACAGATGACCTGTGAGTAGGGATGTAAGTGCTCACACACACACACAGCCTCCCTCAAGTGCACTACAAACCACAAGGAGAGCCACAACCAGCGCTAAGAATCCCGTAAAGCTGAGCTTCCCAGCGTAGACTCCAGGCTGCATGACTTAGCCGAGGCCTCACAAACCCCGGTGACCCAGGAACACAACTGGACCAGGGGATCCGCAGCGAACGTGCGTGCATCCCGGTAAATGCTACGATTTTGACTTCAGCATTGTTTCAGTACAGCCCAGTAAATAAAAAAGTTCTACCAGCCTGGGAACCAGAAGGGGCCCCTTCCCCGCTCAGGGCTGGTACCTGGGGATAAGGAAGACAGGGTCCCTGCAGCCGTGCTCCCCGTTGCAGACGGTCTCGGGGGACAGCTCCGCCTCGCTGCCCTCACCATAGTCCTCGAAATGCTCCTCGCCGCCTATCACCGCGACGATGGACTGGCCATGCAGGTGGGATCTGAAAGGGAAAAAATGACTGACGTGTCAGCTGCTGGCCCAGGCCGCAGGCACCCCAGAGCCCAGGGCGTGACCCGTGCCTTCCAGCAGATACGCGCCGAGACCGCCTGTTCAGTTCAGGTGTTCCAGTGGCCGTGCCAAGGAAGTTGAATGGACGGCGAGACTGCTTTTAACATACTTCACTCACCAACATACCAGGATATCACCATTACAAAAACAAGATTTTTACTTCATTTCCTTATTTCATAATATGCCTTTAGACCTGGTGTTTGCTGTACACACCCAGCTGCCCTGGCCGAGCTCAGCAGCTCTGCACAGGATGGCCGCTGTCCACGCCAACCTGCGTCCAGGGCCAGCGCATCCGGCCGGCAGAGGCTGAGCCCACTCTGGTGCCTCCAGGAGTCTTTGGGAGCTCCTCCACCCAACGGCCAGCCCGCTCCTCACCACAGACCCCCGCGAGAATCCACAAGCCGGCACAGGAGCTACCCCTCCAAGGAGCACAGGGCCTGGGGGCAGGAGTGAGTGGCCTCAGAGCAAGTTCCACCATCACAGCCACCAGCGCACACGAGCCGCGCTCCCCAGAGTTTGACTGTCACTCGCGTGCCTCCAGCTCTGCATCCTCTTACACAGAGAGCGCGGGAAAGGATTCTGTCCAACAGTGGCCGTTTTAAACCGAGCTACCTCCTATCTGTCTAGGAGAGCTGCTCAGTGAGTCAACGTGCCAGGTCCTGCAGAGGCAGCTGCCCCAGCATGAGGAGGACGGACACACAGCAAGCCCGCTGCTCCCGCTGCAGACAAGGGGGCTCCAGCCACTTCTCCCAAGGGCAATTTCCCTCGTCAGAGGGGACACTGGGGCCACAGGCAGCATGTTGGGGCCGAGGGGTCCAGACCAAGCAGCTGTCACATATTGAGTTACCAAGTTGACAGAAAAAGGGGACGTTGGCTTACAATTGGCATCATCACGCCGACAGGTTTTTCAGAATAGAAAATTTTCTCTTATTGACACTAATGTGACTTCAACAAATTCTGAAGGCAAGTCACTGCTTACACAGCATGACAGCTCAGAGCCTAGAAACTCCCAGGGAAAGATTTAAGACCTCAAAGTGGTTTCCCAGACTTAGCTCTTCTTAAACTTTCTTTGATTACTGGATGCAAATCAAACTTAATTAGAAGAATTTAGCTTATTACCTTATAAAATATTGATAAGAAAGCTCTGATGAAGGTGGCATTCCCATTCCCACTGTATTTCGTCCTTACTTCTTCCTCCCCAGGCACGCCACACCAAGCTCCACTTCCACTTGCGCTGGGCTTGTGCCCCTCGTACCCCCAAAAAGTGTACTTCCAGGTCCCAGTAGAGTGCAAGGGCCCAATGTGAATGCACACCCTCCCTACCTCCATCGGACGGTCACACCCAACTGTGGCAATCAAAGAAGACAAAAGTAAATGGAGTAAGGCCAGGAGACCCAATGTTGTCAAGATGCTGGTTCTCCCCAAATTAATCTACAGACCCAACACAATTCCAAACCCAAGTCCCAGCAGATACTTTTTTTTCCAGAGACTAACAGACAGAATCTAAAATCCACGTGGAAATGCAAAGGCCAAAGGTGCCAATGCAGCCTTGAAGAGCGAGGCTGAGGGGGTACATGGCCAGAGGGCACAGTTGGTGACCACTCGAGTAGAAACACTGTGTGGTAAGGACCCAAAGAGGGCGAACATGCAGAGCAGAGCGTCCAGACACAGCCACCTCATGGGGCAGGAGGACGGAGGATGCTTCAGAACTGAGCCTGAGTTGATGGGACATCCACACGGGGAATGTGACCCAGCCTTATACCACACACAGAATCCGTAATGGAGAGATTACAGGTCTGAATATGAAGCCCCCAAAATAGAGCCTTTAAAAAAAAGCAGAAGTAGAGGTCCTAGTGACATGGAGTAAGCAGAGACTACTGAAACAGAACAAGAAGTGCCAACCACAGAAGACAGACAGACAAATGGGACTGTGATGCGATGAAAAACGTCTATTCCACAGATGCTCCAGGGAAGTGAGAGGGAGGGACCTCCAGAGGGGAAAACACACATGTGGGACATGGACTCCCCTCTGAGACAGATCAAGAGCTCTCACGACCAAGCAGGGAGGAAGACAGACCAGGGGACCGCACCCACAGCCTGTCTCTGCAGAGGTGGCTGGGACGCAGCCGCCAACAGTGGGTTTCAACAGCAGAGCTGACAAGCAGCGCTGAGACCATTGGGCCTGCGGGCCCATTTACCACCTGGCCTCTTGCAGAAAATGCAGAACCCTGCAATCAACCAGTGGGCAAAAGGCTGGGACAGGCTCCACACAGAGGAGGGTCTCCATGGGGCAGCAAGTGCAAGAAGGGCTCCAGCCTCATCAGTCCCCTGGAGACAAACCCTCAGACCATGGGCACCAGGAAGCAGACAATGCCAGGCACCGCAATGCCAGGTGCTGCAATGTCAGGCGCCGTGAGGACAGTAGCAGCCAGAACCCATCTGTAGCTGTCTGACCCGTAGGAACCCCTATGGATGAGCATGGGCCCAGGTGCGGCTGGCGCCACCCCAGGAACAAATCCGGCCACCAAAAGACCTGACGCTCACAGTGGCTCTACTCACAACACCAAGACTGTGAGCTCCCCAACATCCACTGACTGTGAAGCAAAGAGCTGCGGCACATTCACACAGCAGAACGCTGCTCTAATGACAACAAAAGTAGAGCATTTACCACGGTGCACACAGACAAAGACGACCTCACGGCCACATGCTGAGCAGAAGCAGCCAGGTGTGAAGAGGACACACGCTGGTGTGACCTTCACAGGGCGGGGCTGCTGTGCAGTGCGGAGCCAGGGCTCCTAGAAGGGAGCAGGGGCACCTGGCCCGGGTGTGTTTGTGCACTGGGACGTCAGTAGGCGGTACTCCAATTAAAGAGGAAAAACACAGGCTCCATGACGGCCAAACGAGAAATAAAACGAAAAATAAGCAAAACCAAACCAAACCAAACCACTTTTGAGGATTCCCAAGGCATCCAAGGCAGAACCTCAGCCATCACTTGGCATATGGGCCGCCTGGCACCCCTCTAACCTCGTCCTCCCCAACGCCATCCTCAAATGCATGGAGTTGCAGTGCCGTATGGATGCACGGTTCTTAGAGCCTATGGCAGACATCCACTGAATGGGGTGTCTTGCCCTGCCTCCTAAGAACTGTGATGACAAAGTCCCAAAGACTGAGTTAACGTCTTGTCCTACAATTCCTGACTCTGAGGGAGGAGCACCACCTGACGGAAGACAGCATAGGACAGCTGGGCGCAGGCCCTACTGCAAGGTCACACTCTCCTTCTAAACCACCCCGATGTGACGTCCCTGCCTCTGTGAATCCAATCTGCCCACCAGATGTGGCCTCACGGCGCCCTTGGCACAAAACCCAGGCCGTGCAGGCGGTACCGACCTGCCTGGGAGCAGCAGCAGGGCGCCGTGGCTGGGCTCCTCCGTGGCATCCAGGCACTCAGGGGGCACCAAGGTGCCCGTGTCCTCGTCCGTGAAGGTCTCACACTCGCTGTAGGTGCTCTCGGAGCCCATGTATGCGCTGTCTGTCACCTCGTTGGCCTAGGAGAGAGCGCCGAGAGTGAGTCCTGGTGCCCTGGCATGGCTACAGCCACAAGTGACGCCCACACAGCGGAGGCACTGAAACACCGTGTGCACAAAGGGCCTTCATGGGGGAGACGGCCCTCCTGTATTTCTAAGCAGAAACATTAGCTTACAAAACAGTTCTGTTTTTTAAAAAACGAAAAATAGGCATGTGTCCAAGAGCAGAAAAGACTATTGGAGTGATTTTTGAAGCTAGTTATATAAACATACCTAAAACAGACACAAAGTATCAATATCACACAATAAACCCCAGTACAACCACCCATTTTGTGGCTTCCATCACAAAGAATTAACACTCAGCAGTGTAAGAATATGCCTTTTAAAATTTAAAAGTCGTCTCAACATCTGTTAAGTGTGTTCAGGCTACTGCTCTGAAATTCAATTGCATGATCTAACCTAATTAGACCAAAGCACTAATTAACCAATTATTTCACCAATCAATTGTGTTTGCTGGTTAAATGTCTACTTTCCCACTAAACACATCTCTGTTTTCACTCTTACGGACTCAGCATCAACCACAGGGCCCAGCAAACAGTCAACAGTAGATATCTGTGGATTGTACAGATGAACTTGAAACCAAAGAACCATTGAGCAGGCCATTTTCAATTTAATAATCTCTGCTTTAATTAAAATGCAATTGCTCTGGTTCGGAAATGTAGCCAACATTTCACGCTCAAAAGATTCCGAGGTTAACAATTTGCAAACAAGTAAGATTTCAGAAAAGCAGCAAGAACGGTGCACTTTGTCCTCAGTTCATCACGGGATGTGGGCAGCATGGTCGAATGTGCCGCAGCCACATAGAGGTCCTTGGCTGACCCTGCACGACTGCACCCTCGCCCAGACAAGGAGACCCAGAGGGCCAGGCCAGGGGAGCCTGGTGTGGTGGTGAGAGGTCCAAGGTCCATCCCTGGTCTGTGGTCCTCCAGCTGTGTGATCCCAGACTGGGGGCCTCAAGGTCTCAAGCACTCTGAGCCATGTTGGCTCATTTGTAAAATGGAGGCTGTAGTGCTGACCTCACAAGGTGACAACCACTCGGGATTTGGGGATCACACGGACAGGTGCAGGAACAGAGATGGGAAGGCTGTGGGGTTCATGTGTCACTGGAGGTGGACTCCCTACAGCCGCTCATCAGGCTGGAATAAAACAGGGACTGGTGGGAGAGGTGCCTGCTGCAGGTGATGGCACTTCTACTTCCAAGGGAAAACTAATGTACCTGGGAATCTAAAGCTACTAAGTAATCCACAAAGACTGTTCACTTCAAAACCTGTAACCAGGAAATCCCTTCAAAGGGCACTCACTCTAGTTCTCATCAGCCCTGAGCAGGTGGCTCTGGGTTCAACCTGCAGGAGGGAAGGGGCAGAATCCCCAGACTGCCAGCAACAACCATACAGACCCAAGCCAGCTCTCGGGCTTTCAGCCAAAACCTCTCAGAAGAGCGCTTCTCAGTGTCCACAGCTCCTCCTCCACCCGGATGCGGGCAGGGCCCACATACCCCAGGCTTTGACTGGGACCCTCTGAGATGGTTTCCTGTAGGGAGCCGCACTTGACTCTGAGGTCAGCATTTAAAAAGCCACCAGCTAGCACTTTTGACAGACGCACAACGATTCTGGCCCCTGTGGCCCCTGTGGCCCCGCAGGCAGCTCAGCTTAGTGTGTGAGACCAGCTCAGTGCCAGGCTGCAGCCTAAACCCTCCCTGGACGTTGGACAGGACGGTTCAGGATGGAGGTAACTCTCCACTGACATGGGAACAAGGAGGTGAATGCTGCACAAACCCGACCGCGCATCAGAGCGCTCACCAATTCCTTCTGGGCGACTACCTGCTGAGCAGACAGAGGAAGACAAACACTCCCACCTTCCATCATCACTCCCAGAGCAAGTCTATCCCTGAGGACACACTGGACACTGACAGGCTCTGTAAGGACCCAGCCTGGGAAGGCTGAGGGGGCCGGGAGGACAGGGCTGGGTCGTCTCATGGATGCTGCCCACCTGCTCACGACCTGGAGTTCAGCTCCTACTGGTCCAGGCTGCCCTGAATGTCAGTAAGCCAGGCAGTTTTCTGGGGGCAGAAGACCATCCGAGAGTATGGTCCCCTGGCTGAGCACAGAATGGCCGAGACGTCCTAGAGGTTCACGTGCCGCCAGAGAGGACCTTGCTCCGCCCAGCCGACCGTCTACGCCACCAAATTCAAAATGTTTGGATGAATTAATGTGGGAGTCAAAGTGCACCTTACAAAGCTTGGTTGAGTATCCCTCACCAGTTCACAAACGTGCCAATGGGACCAGGACCACCAGGTAGACAAGGAAGCCTGTGCTCATGGTCATTGGCTAGGAACACAGGTGTGGCCAAGCCTGCCCGGGCCCCCCCATCCATTCGTGGTCCCTCCAAGGAAAACCAGTGGCCAGGCACAGCCTCCTCTTACCCTCAGACGCCAGTCCAGGCTGGGCCTGGCTCCATACACCCACTCCAGGAAGGGCGTGCTCAGGGAGATAGCCTCCCCATTGAATCAGATGTTGGGGGTCTCTGTCCAGACTAGCCATCAGCTTCCGGCAGCCTCCTATTTGCCAGTCTTGCTGAGATTCTGCAAAACCCGTGTGCTCACCTGAAGGTGCATCACTGCTTTGGAAGAAGCCTAACCCGCTCCCAGACTTGCTCCAGGAAACCTGCCGAGCTGGCCCACGAGGTGGGCAAAGTTCAGAGAGTGCTGGCTGCGTTTTTAACAAACAGTTTAGTCAGATTTAAAAACAGAGTGGCTTTTGTTCTTCATTTTCCAACCTTTCTGATAACAGTCTGCACAGAAGACATATTTCCCTAAGGCCGGGAGTGGGAGAAGGAGGGAGGGACAGAGAAGGCACAGCAGGGACAGTTCTTATCACTCGTTTGTGCCTGCTCTCTGCGACTTTCCCACCACTTTCCAGAAACCCTAACGCATGAGTTATTCCCTGTGGGCGGCAGGGCCTTCCGCTCTCCAACCTTCTCCTCACCCAGATTCTCAGACCTGGACATTTTTTTTTTCAGTTGAACTATAGTTGATTTACAATGTTGTGTTAGTTTTAGGTGTACAGCAAAGTGATTCAGTTATACATGTACATATACACATTCTTTTTCATATTCTTTTCCATTATGGTTTATCACAAGATACTGAATATACATGCCTGTGCTATACAGTAGGTCCTCATTGTTTCTATTTTGTATATAGTAATGTGTATATGGTAATCCCAAACTCCTAATTTATCCCTCCCCCCCATCCCTTTCCCTTTGGTAACCATAGCTTTCTGTGTCTGTGAGTCTGTTTCTGTTTTGTTCATTTGTATCACTTTTTAGATTCCACATATAAATGATACCATATGATATCTGTCTTCTCTGTCTGGCCTATTTCACTTAATATGATAACTTCTAGGTCCATCCATGTTGCTGCAAATGGCATTATTTCATTCCTTTTTATGGTCAAATAGTATTCCACCGTATATAAACACCACATCTTTATCTAGTCATCTGTTGATGGACACTTAGGTTGCTTCCATGTCAGATGTGAAGCTTTCTTCCTATTCGAATGAATGTCAGTGACAAAGCTGAAGTCACCCCTCACCTCTTCCCCTTCTCAGAAACGACAAATCAGTAACTTTCTCCTGGGAGTTCTGTTACAAGCTAGGAGCCAAAGGATGCTTGGGGAAATGCTGAAGTGTCCCCAGCAGGAAAAGGACCCAGGAGCAGCAGCCCATTTGTAGTTACTGCACAGGACACCCTTGACCAGCACCACCGTGTGCCCCAGAATGTCAATAAAAGGCCTATTCATCTCTGAAGATCGCCAGCAGAGGGTCCCCAAATGTGGTATTGGATGTAATACACGTATTCTCCATTCGTATTTTTAATTGCACATTAAGATCACACAACTTGCAAGTTTTTTAAAAACAGTTATCTTTTGGGGGAGGGGTACAGCTCAGCAGTAGAACGTGTGCTTAGCATGCGCGTGGTCTTGTATTCAATCCCCAGTTCCTCTATTAAAAAGCAGTAAGTTTCTATACATTACCTAGTTTCACTTCCCTCAAAATTACATCCAAAAGCCTTAAAAAGCACACACACACACACACACACACACAAAACATGGAGGAACTTTAAAGGCCCCACACTGTATGATTCCAACCAACTCTACGACATTCTGGAAAAACAGAACTACGAAGACAGAGATTCTGGAAAAACAAAACTACGAAGACAGTAAAAGATCAGAGGTTGCCAGGTGCCAGTGGGGAGGAACGGCACACAGAAGACGTTTAGGGCAGCGAAGCTACTCAGTGTGATGCTACAGTGGTGGATACACATCACTACACATTCATCAAAACCCACAGAACTACAGCACCAAGAGCGAACCCCAATGTGAACTATGGGCTTTAGTGAGTGACAATGTATCCATCCCAATGTGAACTACGGGCTTTAGTGAGTGACAATGTATCCACATTGGTTCATCCATTAGAGCAAATGTAAGATGCTCCTGGTGGGAAAACTGTATGTGTGTGGGACGTAATGGGAACTCACTGTACTGTCTGCTCCATTTTCTGTAAACCTAAAACTGCTAAAATATAAAGTGTATTAATTTTTTAGAAAACAACAAAAAAATTAAAAAGAAATATTTCCTCCTTGTTGAAAAAAAATGAAGATCTGAAAACCTGAGACACATTCCTTTTGCATACTCTTTGAAATGTCAGGCTCCCACCCACAATTTCTGGAGGCAATGGGTGCGGCAGGTGGGTGGGCACCCAGAGCCAAGGTGCTGCACAGGTGGGAAGGCCACACCAGTGTGTGGAGGACAAGAGGGGCTGAGAGTCAGACAGCACCCCATGCCTTCTTCCCCTGGCTTCAGGAGGCAGCCCCAGCGTCAGTGGGTCTCATCCTTTCAGGTTAAACAAGCACTTGAAGTACAAAATGCACTGATGCCTTTTACCACCCTGAACAACAAAACTCTATTAGTTTCCTGGGGCTTCCATTATCAAATCACCATACATTGGGTGGCTTAAAGCAACAGGAATGCATTCTCTCAGAGCTGGAGGCCAGGGGTTGGACATCAAGGTGTCAACAGGGTTGAGTTTCTCCTGAGGCTCCAGGGAGGATCCCTCCTGCCTTGTCTGGGTCTTGGTGGCCCCGGAAGATCCTGGCCTTGTGGCTGCGTCACTCCAGCCTTCTCCCTGGTGGGTCATCTCCCTTTCTCTTCCAAGGACAACCGTCACTGGATTCAGGGGCCTCTCTATACAGCACGATCTCATTTTGAGATCTTTAACTTAATTAGATCTGCAAATCTAAATAAGCTCAAGATCACAGGTTCTGGTGAATGTACCTCTTAGGGGCTACCATCTAACCCATGACATCCACCTACACATAAAATACAAAAAAATCAATATAATGCCCTACCAGAAATATGAGAGAATAAAACAGAAGGCACTGATGACAAAATGTGTGCACTAGTGTGTCAATGGCGAGGCCTGACCCCGTGGGAGATGTGTGATGAGAGGTTAGCTGCTGGCCGGCTACGTGAGTGAGGAGACCCTGCACGGCTGCTGGGATCCAGGTTCCCCAGATGTTCCAAATAAGACAAGCAGCCTCTCCCCCGACCCAGCTGCATTACTGGGAAGTTCAAGATGTGTCGATCCCCAGAGAGCCTTCCACGCCTTGCCGTCTCCACGGTCACAGGGTCTGGTGGTCGGTTTGAAAGCTGACAAGTCAGGATCCTGCATACCCTTGGCCCCTGTCCGGCCACACCAAACCTCAGCCAGCACATGTCCCAGTCAGGCACCTGGCCTCCACACACCAGGCCTGGCACCCCGGGGAACCCCGAGGACACACAGAATGAACACACCAACTGTTGCTAAATATGGGGACACAAGGTGGGGTGGTCCCTGCCCTGGAGGGACTCAGGCCCAGTTGGTATTCTGGTACAAAGCTGTGAAGTGGTCTGGAGGCCTGGACTGGCAGAAGTGACAGACAATCCGGAAGTGAACTTGCATTATCTGAGGGGTGACCGACACCTGGGGCAGTTTCTTGGAGCAGGGACATAAGGCACTGAGGAGAGCAGTGGAGTCCTGTGGATGCCAGCATTCAGGGGGACTTTCAGAAGCTGCTCTATGCCATTCCTCATTCTACAAAGGAGCCCAAGCTCAGGGGACTAAAGGCAGGGCCTCAGGCCCACTGAGTCACAGCCCAACCCTGCTCCCCACGGCCTCCAATGGGCAACACAGGGCTTAGGGGGCTGGAGGCTGCCCCAAGTGTATTTTTTTAAAATTTTTTTTGCAGGGGGTGGATTATGTATGTATGTGTTTATTTATTTATTTAATGGAGGTACTGTGGATTGAACCCAGGACCTCATGCATGCTAAGCATGCACTCTACCACTGAGCTATACCCTTTCCGCAACAAGTGTATTTTCAAAAAGAAAAATTCCAGAACCAGCGCATGGGCTCTCCAGTGTCTGCCCTCAATCCCATATTGCGGGATGAAGTTACAGTGACCTGTCTTCTGTGGCTGTGCACGCAGATCCTCTCCCTGCCGTGGCAGAGGGCAAATCACCCACAACTGCAGGCCATACCATGTAACTCTAACCACCCTGGCTTCTTCCCGAGGAAGAGGACAGAGGCCGGCAAGGTGTTAGTCAAATGTCCCTAGACTAGAAAATGGGTTCTTGATAAAACAAAAATATCACGACACAACCCATGCTCTGGCCTTGCTTGGCAACCTGGTAGAAGGTGACAACAATGTCACAGGAGAGCCTGGCCCTCTGCAGACACCTGCCGATCACAGCAAACACACACAGTGGGCCCTGCCTGCCACTTCCTACAGGAACAGCCCTGGGGACCACAGAGTGAGGCGGGATTTAGGGTGCATGAATATGGGGGGTAGCATCAAATCCCCTCTCAGCTCTCCTGGGAAAACCACTTGCCTCAAAGGTAACAAAGTCGTCGAACTCCTCGGGGCAGGCGGGTGGCTCCTCGTCGGGGGCTGAGGTGACGCTGCAGAGCTGGCCATCAGGATCTGCTGGGAGAGAGAAGACCAGGTTCAGCAGAAGGCCCAGACCATCCCTGGGGGGCAGGGGGTAGGTGCATGAGTGGTGGGCATGAACGGGGCTGGACTGGCCGGGAGAGGCCTGGGGAATGAAGTAGTGTGGCCCCCAGAGGAAAAGGCTTTGTGCCAGCTCTGGGAGGGAGTGTCAAGGTTGAATGATAAGATGTTTGTTTGTCAAAGAGCTGGCAGTGTTGGGACAGAGAAGGACGCCATACCACTACGGCTCGAGAAAGCAGCAGGTGCCAGACTTCACGTCTGGAGAGGTGTAGGCATGATGTAGGACAAGGAACAACATCTGTCCAGGGTGCTGGACTCGCGGCAGCTTTTCTTTTCTTCTTTTTCACTCAAGTTTACCTTCTACAACAAATACTTAACTTGATAATGAAAATCCCGAGCAAAAGGCATAGTTTCGTGAGGGACAATGCTGACATCAGCATCACTTCTCAGACACGGCCGGCCTCCCGCTGGAAAGCCCCTGGCTTCCTGGCTTCCCAGCAGTGTGGACACAGCACCTTCCAAAGAGCACGCAAGACACTTCTGTGTCCCAACGATGTCTCACTACTGTGCCATCACAACAAACATTTATTTGCTCTTCGTCCTGGTTCCTGGCACAGAGCGCCTAAAACCCTGGGGATTTCCTGAGTGATGAGGCGAGAGGAGCATCTGTCATTCATAACAAGCCCGATTCAACCTCATGGGTTTATACCGATAAGGTGACTCTTGGAGGATGGGGCTGGTTGCCAGAGGAACTTTCAGCCCCACTCCTTCCGACCTCCAGAAAGGGGGAGAGACAGGAGACTGAACTAATTTAATCAGTCGTGCCTGTTTAATGGAGCTTCCATAAGGCCCTGGAATGAAGGGGTTCAGAGGGCTCCCAGGTTGGGAACACCTCCAGATGCCAGGAGGGTGGCACATCCCCCTGCCATGGGGACAGAAGTCCCTCCACGCCAGACTCTTCCAGACCTCATCCCACAGACCTCTTCTTGGCTGTTCATTTGTAACCTTCATAGCACCCGTTGTAATAAACTGGTAACATAAGTAAAATGCTTCCCTGGGGTCTGTGAGCCATTCCAGCAAATTATCAAACCCGAGGAAGGAGTAGTGGGAACCCTCGTTGTGGAGTCAATTCAGTCAGGTGAGGGCCCTGGAGTGGGGCCTGTGCTTAACTTGGAGTGGCTGGTATCAGAAGGAATCACATAGCAGACACCCAGGCCAGGTCCAGAGCACTGGATTGCTGCTCGGTGAGGAAAACCCACACACCGGGTGTCAGAGTTGTCAGCAAAAATCAGATCATGGTAGTAATTGCTCATTTAAAATACCAGTTACTTATTGAATATATTTCACATATTCTGACACAGCATCAGTCACTTACTTAAAGGGCCAAGTGCGCCAGCAAGCCACCCAGACACTCCGGGGTAAAGGGCTCTGGAAGGTCAGCACTGGCTTCTTCAGCCAGAGGACGCTCTGCTCTGGCACCTGGACCCCCTGGGAGAATGTGGTCCTCCTGACCGTGTGTCCAGCCAGGCTCGGAGGGTCAGTGCCTGGAGTTACTGAGACAGCCCTGGCGGGGGCGGGGACAGAAGAGAGGTGGAGATGCTGACAGCTCCTCCCCACCACTGGATCCTCCCCACCACCGACAGGTTGCTTCTGAATAGCTCTCTCAATTTAAACAGAATAATAACGCTTCCCTTCGACAATCACTCGGATTCAAGTGCATTCAGTAACGATGAAATGCCATTGTCAATTCAACACTGCAAAAGCCCTGATGTAGCTTCCATCTTCAGAATCACAAGCACTTTTAACGCTCTTGTTTTGTACTGTTTTCCCTAGAGTGTGGCTCAGACTGGGGTGGGAGTGAAGGTGCCTCAGAGCACGCAGGCTGGACCCAGACCCTGTGCTCATTGCCTGCCATGCCAGCCCACAGCCCTGGAGGCCCCAGGTCTGGGGTGTTAAGTGAACTACAGCAGAACTGTGTGTGCTTCTCTTGGCGGGGAGAGGGTTGCTGTGGACAGAAGTGTTTGGTTTCTGGAGCAGGAGAATGGAGAAGGCCCAGTTCCCCCAGCGCACCTGGAGACCGCATGCACCCTTTTAAGAGGCTAGGCTGTCTTTGCCCACTTTCCATTCCCAAACAGTAACAGTCTTGCTTGCACTTTCCAAAACTGAAACACAGAACTCAAAACTCTAAAGCACAGCCGATCTTTTCTGCCATGGGGGACGGGGGCTCAGATTCCTGCAGTGAGCGATCAATCTAGGAGTCCCGCCCCACTCAGTAGAGAGGAGATGTAAAGGTAGCTGGCAATTCTATACTCTTGATGGGAACTAAATACGAGTCTTCTCTCAGTTTTCTCTATAAGAACTAAAACAATTTCAACTAAATATAAATTTTTAGTGTATGTTTATCTAAGTCTTCCAGAGGCTAGGGGATGGGGGACCGAGCCAGAGCAATGGCCTATTTGTCACAATTCCCTCTCTAGCTCGTTCTATTCCTGAAATAAGGCCTATGGCTACGACAGTAAAAATCTCCTTGCGTTCTCCTGCAAAACTGGGTCAATGTACCATGCCACCTGCTCTGCCGCTCCGGATGCAGAATGAAAGTCCAGCAGATGAGACAAGCTGTCGGCAGCTACAACGGCACACGGGTGGGAGGACCTGAAGTGAACTGCAGCCCAAATGCAGTCCGGGCGGTCGTGCTGCCACGCTTCCAAATGCTATGAAATAACAACTTCCGAATCATCTCTGATTTTCCTTCAGATTTTATTGTTCACTCTCCATTGCTAACACAAGTTAAATGATGAAGTCAAACTACCAAAAAATTTTTACAAATTACAGAAAAAAAAGAAAAGCTAAGCCAGAAGCACTGAGCTAGAAGCCCTGAGCCACCCTGGCAGTGCATTCCCAGAGGCCACACAAGCTGAAGTCACCTGCAGGCCCAGCCTCATACCCATCCCGGGAGATGGCCCTGCTGGGCTGAGAGGCCAGGTCTGCCCGCAGCACCCAAGCTGCTCAACCCAGCCAAACCAGCCTCCCTGTGGTTTCCAAACATGCTGGGCGCACCCCTTTAGGCACCCCTTCCCGGACACTCCCAGGGAGGCCTCCATGCCCACCTCAGCTCCACCACTTCCCGAGGCCCATCACCTTTCAGAGCTGTCCTGCACCCAAGTTTGTGGGCTGCCCCCCACCAGAACTAAGGTCAGCTCCCTTCTTTCTTAATTTTTTTTTTTTAATGGAGGTACTAGGGATTGAACCCAGGACCTGGTGCATGCTAAGCATGCACTCTACCACTGAGCTATACCCTCCCCCTGCAGCCACTTTCATCCTGCCTGATTCAAGTTCTCATCACAACAGCCTCCCCTCATCCTGTTCCCCCCCAAGACCCCACCCCCTCTGCTGGCCAGGCCAGGCCCCACTCCCACATTCTCTGCCCCTCAAACACACACCCCAGTGGCAGACTGTCTCCCAGTGTCCAGGGCCTGCCACCTCGTTTCAGGAGCGGGGTCTGTTCTGCACAAGCTAAACGGGGGCTGGGGGACACCACGTGCAATGTGGCATCATGTTGAGACCAAGCCTCACCCCTTGGGGATGCCGCTATTCCAGAATGTTCTCACCACTGAAAAAAACCACAGCACCACTTCCTGGAGTGTCCATGCTAACTCTGGGACTGTGAGAGGTTTTTGTTTTTGATTAAATCAAAGTGGAAATAGCGCCAAAAGAATGCAATAATGAGACTCAGTAGTGTGCAGGGGCCCTGGAGGGAGGACTTGTTGTCCTGAATGGGAGGCTCAGAATCTGAAGAAAGTGCGGCTGTAGGACAGGATGGAGAGGGCCTGGGTCTGGGAAAGGGAGGGCCAAGTGCAGCAGGCAGGTGGGTCAGGGGGCGGGTCCCAATGGGAAAGCCCCCCAGGGCCCCACCTCGGGTTCCTCTCTGCCAACCGTGGGAGGACAAAGAGCACCCCGCTGCCATGGGAAGGGCCCAGGCCTAGGCAAGGAGGGAGGAGGGGAGTGTGAGTGGAGGCCCCTTCTCAGCATCAGGTGGAAGGCTGACCACAAGGGAACCGTGAGGATCTGGGGGACAGGTCGCTCTCACATGACCATTTTCTCTCACCAGGTTGATAACTATCACACACTAAATTTCGAGACACTTGAACCCACAGGGCGGCCACACCATCAGCAGCCGGCACCCATTCTGCATGAGAGACAGGGGTCAGCCTCCGCTCCCTTGCCCAGGGCCTGGTGGGCTGGCAGTTGGCGAGCTCTGTGACAATGCCCTGGGTTGCGCCTGCCGCGGTCACAAGTTTTCCAGGAGCATGTCCTGATTCCTATGGCCCAGGGTTGGGACATCCCAGATCAGGCCCCCCAGGAATTCCTATAGCTGAGTTTGCTCCAAGGTTGGGACCTCCCAGGTCAGGCTCCCCAGGAATTCCTACAGCTGAGTTTGCTCCGTTTCTTATTGCCCGTGGTCTATCGGAACAGACTGGCCACTGCTCGGCAACAGAATTGTGGATGTGCGCTCAGAGAGGCTCAGAGAGGGCCTCAAAGCCACACAGATGGCCAGCACTGTCTCTTGCTGGCTGCTTTCCTGGGCTCCTTCCTGTCCACACCCACACCCACAGGCCTGGCTGCCACTGCTGCTCCCACGCTGACCCTTCAGAGGAAGCCCAGTCTCGACCCTGGCTGGAAGGTGAGGAGACCACTGCACTCCTCCTAGCCCCTTTGATTTTAGGCCCAGGAACCACTGATGCTATCATCCCCTGTGGGTAAATTCATGCAGGAAGGTTCCTGCTAACAGGCAGGGCCAGTGCCCTGTGGTCAGCAGGCTGCTCCGTGGTCACCCAGGGAATCGGGCTGTCACAACAAACCCAGGGAGTCCCAGCCTGCCAGATGCCTAACACACACACACTGTTCACCTGAAGCTGGGCAATGAATCAGCGCCCACAGGCTAAGGGGAGCCAACGGCAGTGCTTAGCCTGTCTCGTGTTCCTCTGTGATTCTCCATGGTTCCCCTGGGCTCCTGAACTCTAGAATGTCCTCCTGACCTCCTGATATAGTACTCAAGGACTCCCCGCTATCCCTCCCCCAATCTTCCAAAACAGTTTAGTTCCAGTCTCTAGCTACATAAATATTCAATTTGTTTAATTATTAGCACCATGTAAGATACTGTTCATTACTGGGCCAAGCAGTGTTCCAGAAGCAGATTTTCCCTCTGAGTCCACGTATTGTTTTCCCCAGCAAGAGTGACCGCTTTTCTGGTGTCCTGGGCTTGGCCTCCACGCACCCATCACCTTCCCACCCCAAACCCTCAGGCAGAGCTGCAAAGGCTTCTCCAGTGACCCACCAGTCCTGGGCTCCCCGGCTCCGTCACCATCAACCTGCGGCTGATTCCGTCACCTGAGAGCGAGGCTGAAATAGAACTGAGACAAGACTGACGATGCCACCACCCTCCTGGGAACCAATATCATCTCCACACGTATGTGATCTCCTTAAGTGGTCCCCATACATGATCCCGTGACTGAGATCCAGCAGACCATCGGTGAGCCTCCAGCCCTGCACATACACACCACTCACCCCCGCGGGGGAAGCGTTCTTTAAACACACACATTACACAGGTAAAAACTGGCCACATGGTAGACCTGAAAACAAACCCAACCCATGTCAGATACCTCATTGTCTACCACATACACAACTGGTTTGAAGTTAATGGCAAGATTTTAAAATGCACTTAGAAATTAAGATTAGTTTTAAATAATTGGTTAAGTCCAAGAAGAAATCATACTGGATTGTCAAAACTAAGAGAAAAAAAGCCTATACCAAGAGTTTCCTGAAGGTAAACCAAGAAAGCTATGGGAGGACAAGGCCACCCCCTGTGTCCTGGGCACCAAGGCTTTGGCCCAGAAGGTGACCTGAGGAGAGGCAGACGTTCCAGAAGGCCCGGCATGAGTGCCTGCTTTGGGGTTGGGAGTGGGGGCCGGGCATTGCATTCAGGAAGCCACCAAAAGGCACTAGAGGTTGAGAAGAAGCAAAAGTTTGCATGAAACCGAGAGAAAAATCTTGGTGCAAGCTGAAGATTTAAATAACTCTGTGTTTTAACTGCACACCTAACCTTGAAAAATCCCTGCAGGGCCACAACCCACTGGTTGCGCAGACAGACACGAGGCATGGAAGCCTCGGCCTGGAGTTGAGGATCCTCCAGGATCCTTTCCCTCAGGACTCGCCTTGCCCACACCTTGCCCACACCACCTCTAGAGGGTCTCCTCCCCACCCACTCTGCAGGCCCCTCCACAAGCCCCATTCACCTCAGAGGTGTCAGCACCTCCACGGCAGCCCCGCCAGCACAGCACACAGGCCTCGCCCCAGCTGGGCCTCTGGGAGGATGGCCTGCCTACAGCTGGCCTGCGAGACCCCTCAGCCCCATCCACACCCACTGCACTGCCGGCTGCTGCACTGCCCTCTGCAAGAAGGAAAGCTCTATTCTGAATTTTATTTGAAAGGACAGTAAATGGGCATCTGGTGAGAGTGGAAAATGGCATGACTACCTTGAAGAGCAGCTGGCAGCTCTGTAGGAAACTACACTTACAGCCACCCCGGGACCAGCCATCCCACCCCTAGGCAGGGGCCCCCAAGCCGAGAAAAAGACCTGTAGCCTGATGTCACTAGAAGGTTCCCTCATCATGGCCCAACCTGGAGTATACTGCCCGTCATCTGGGGGACAGACAAGCTGTACCAGCACACGTGCAAGCACAGCTCTGCACCGAAGTCTCCCGACACACCGGCGGCACAGCCAGTCTCCACATCACATGCTGGGGAGCCTGATGCAAGAGCATGTGCTGATGAGCTTACTGATGTCAGCCCACGAGCGGCAGAGCTCATCCACAGTGACAGGGATCAGCCAGGGGGTGCCGGTAGGAGGAAGGCATTACTGGAAAGCTGGGAGGGAACTGTCTCCAGTGATGGGAACGCTATGGGTAGGGATTTACATCACCAGGTGTAAGAATGTCAAAATTCACAGAACAGCACACTAAAGATCTGCACTTTTGACTACAGGTAAATTTTTAATCAGAAAAAAGATTGCAGACAAATATTGAGCTCTAGGTTATGACTGATACACAGGATGAAGTGTTTAGGGTGGAGCGTACAGCAGGATACTGACTTAAAATGCATCCGTTAAAAAAGATGGATTGGGGGAGAGATGGGTGGACAGAAAATACAAATGCAGTAAGGGAGCCTGTGCATTCTGGATGGCAAATACACATCCAAGGGCTCACTGTGTAAATCTTGCAATATGGGAGGGGGGGGATTTGGGTTTTTTTAATTTGATTTTGTTTCTTTTTTAGGGGAGGGGCAATTAGGTTTATTTATTTTTTTAATGGAGGTACTAGGGAACGAACCCAGGATCTTGTGCATTCTAGGCAGGTGCTCTACCACTGAGCTATACCCTTCCCCACCTTGCAATATTTTTGTATGCTTGAAAGTTTTCATAAGACTTCCAGGGAAAGGAGCAGTAGATTTATGAATAAGTAGTTGAGTCAGTCAGTCCTGGAGGACAGGGTGTATGAGGACAAAAGGACAGGATGGGGGAGCATCTTGAACCTGGGGTATTTCAGGGACTCCGGGAGGGAAGCTGGAAAGTTCAGCGAAGGGGGTCTGAGCAGAATCAATAACGGGTGGGGCTGAGGAATGGGGGAGGTGACAAAAGCACACGGTGTGAGGACTGACCTCCGCTCCTGATCGCTGTGATCCCCCGGTAGAAGTCTTCGAAGCTAATCACACCGAGTCCACTGGGATCCAAGTACCTTGTTAAGTCCGTCACCTGCAATTGCCAAGCGAGAGAAGATGTTACTGAGGCTTCACAAGAAGGGGAATGGGGAGTGGGGTTATGCACATGACCTTCTAGCCACATTCAGACAAGCAGCCTACTCCCAAGGGCCGTGGGATCCTCCGTCCTGAATCCACCAACCACTCCTGCCAGAGGACAGGTGACATCCTGGAGAGATGCTGCCAACAGTGACCGGGACCATGAATCATGGAATCAAATCCTGCTCTCAAGCCAATAGCCGTGTTGCTGTTTGTGCTGAAGTTTGAGGTATTCTAGGCTCTGTGCACAGCACAGACCCATCTACCCAACCCCACAGGCCTTCCAGCTGGGCAAAATACTCAGTAAAAATGACTTTGGCAAATAGATCCTGGATATCGAAAATAATCGTAAGTGGGAAAATTCACACCTGATGTTCCAGAGAACAAATCTCTTCAAGAAGAAGATTAAAAAAAAAGAAGAAGAAAGGAAAAGAAAGAAGAAGAAGAAGAAGAAGAAGAAGAAGAAGAAGAA